AATTATTTCAGGTAATTGTGGACATTCATGGATTTCAAAATGCCTTTTTAGGTAATTCGATAATATAATTGAGAATTGATAGGAGAATAAAAATTTAAGAATTTAATTTAAAATCCTAAAAATGTTTTAGAAAATAATATTAAATGATGTATTAGCAATTAGCAAATTAGAAAGGTAACCATCCTTAGAAAAATTGTTTGATATATTTGGTGCTTTTAACTAAAACATTTTATATATATGAGAGAGAGAGAGAGAAAGAGAGATACGTAGATAGCCTTTTTTGTGATTAAATTGAAGTCATATCTTTTCTGCTAGTAAAAGTATTGGCTATCTCTAAAGTCTGTATAGTATTTTCAAAACTCTACAATTAGACCTCTAATTTCCTATCGGCCTGACAACTAATTAGGTTAATTTACACACTTCCACATGATTCTAAATTGCTTCTACTGAGTGTGTGTGTGTGTGTGTGTGTGTGTGTTTATATGCGTACACAATATTAAATGAGTAGTAAGAAAAAAGAATTTATATTTTAAAGAGGCAATATGCAAATTAGGCCAGGACTCCACAATGGGTCATGACCAGACAGGAGGAGGTTGCATGCGCAGGTGAGGCCAGGAGCAGAGACGAGACAGAGGCAGGGGGGCCTGCCTGAGCTGGTGTGATGGCTTGGGCGGCCAGAGCAGACACAGGCAGAGGGAGCAGGGGGACGCTGGGAGTCAGGCACGGGTCCCGGCCCCCTTCGGGGTGCCTCCTCGCACAGTGAGAGGCAGGGTGCCTCCTCGCGCGATTTCAATCACGTGCTGGGCCTCTAGTCTTAAATAAATGTATATGTAGGTAGAAATGAACAGATCATATGAAAGGTAATTTTAAAATAACACTGTGAATCATTGTTTACATTTGAGCAATCAAGAAAGCATCTCGGAATCATATTTAAACTAGTACCTGAATTATAATTGGAAAAAAACTGAATTTATAGAAATAACATACTTTAAAATTCTCTGTATGCCATTTTGTTTTTTTTCAAATAGATGCATATAAACTTGATTTATTTTTAACAGCCTCTCATGTCACTTTCAGTTATAAGAAAATGGTGTTTTAGTTCTGTCAGCTTGCCAAAATCAAAATCATTTAAGCCTCAGTACTTGATATATCAGCTACAAAATTAATTCTAGATGGAAAGCGATATCCTTACATACAAGAGCACAAACTAATGCATGAATTCATAAGCCACATGTGAAATTGAAAGCCTGTCTCCAATCCTTTACATCACTAGGGAGTCAATCTATTTGAGAAACGAATATTATCCTATCAAAAATATCTGTATTCAAACACATTGCATATGATTATTGTTATATGAAGCCCCACTATTTTTTTAAATATATTTTATTATTTTTTTACAGAGAGGGAGAGAGATAGAGAGCCAGAAACATCGATGAGAGAGAAACATCGATCAACTGCCTCCTGCACATCTCCCACTGGGGATGTGCCCGCAACCCATGTACATGCCCTTGACTGGAATCGAACCCGGGACCCCTCAGTCCGCAAGCCGACGCTCTATCCACTGAGCCAAACCGGTTTTGGCAAAGCCCCACTATTAATATCCACGTACACTTATGAGGCTTGTGAAGTATATTTACTGTCCAGCTGTATAGCTTTAGATCTTTAGATTTACAGAGACTTACACACTGACAAATAATTTGAAGGAGTGTATATCTTTTATGCTTTAATTCAGATTTTTTTTCTCCACTAAAATAAAGCACAAACATTTCACATCACTGTTTGTTGTTTTCTACTATTAAAATATATTGAAATAAGCTTGCTACAGAAACTGCTCAACCACTGGAATGTATTGCTGAAGACAATGATGATTTAAGGATTAAATTTAATAGATATATTTTTATTCTTTTTATTCCCTTAAACATTCCATACTATCAATAGTTTCCTCTTTCTTGAATTTCTGATCTTCCATTTTCTTGAATTTCTTGTTATATTTCATTCTAATACTCCTGATTTTTTTCTTGTCTCTGGAACAGCCCTCCCTTTATCTTATATATATATATATATATATATATATATATATATATATATTTATTGTTGATAGTATTATAGATGTTTCCCACTTCTCCCCCTTTATCCCCCTTCTTCCAGGCTCTACCCACCCCCCAAGTCTTTATCACCCTATTGTCCATGTCCATGGGCTATGCATATAAGTTATTTGGTTTATCTCTTCTTTGGATTCTTTTCTCTCTTCCAATTCCTTTAAGGTTTGTTAATCTTGGGATTATGACTTCAATTGTTTTTTACTTCTCAGTGGAATTTTACCCACTTTCACACTGCAAACTACAAACTTCACTTCTAAACTGAGTCCTTACATCTTTCTTACCCCCCTACTGCCCTCCACCTCCCACCCCCAGTATAGACTAGTATATTCAGCTCCTTACTGGACATGTCCCTGGTGTCCCAGGTATATACATCTCAACTTTTACAAAATTGAGATGTAGCTCCTCTCTTCCAACCTGCTCTTCTTTCTGTATGTCCTCATTTGGTGAAGGGCACCACCACCCCATCAGAGCTGAAGCAGAAAGAAAGGAATTACTCTTAACTACAATGTTTTTCTCACCATTCTCATCCTATGAATGAGGCAATTCTGTGGGTTTTTATCCCCTCAGATCTTTGACTATCTCTCTCCTCATCCCTGCTGCTAGTTTCTTAGATCCTTGTGTTTGACCTGACTCATTCCAATAGTCTTCTAACTGGTCTAATTTCATTTCACTGTTGACCCATCAGTCAATCTTCTATGCTTAGTCTTATTTAAAATTGCGATATAGTTGACATATAACATTAAAGTGTACAACATAATGATTCAATATCCTACATAATAAAAGGATATATGCAAATTGACTGAACGGCGGAATCACTGGTTGCTGTGATTCGCATTGACCACCAAAGGGCAGACACTCAATGCAGGAGCTGCCCCCTGGTGGTCAGTACGTTCCCACATGGGGATTGCCACTCAGCCAGAAGCCTCTCCAGCCTCTGAAGCAGTGCTAAGGATGTCCGACTGAGACTGACAGCTTAGGCCCTTTCCCCGGGGAGCGAGCCTAAGCCATCAGTCAGACATCCCCTGAGGGCTATGGACTGTGAGAGGGTGTGGGCCGGGCTGAGAGACCGCCCCCCCACCCCACGTGCATGAATCTCATGCACCAGGCCTCTAGTTTATATATATTTCAAGATGATCACTACAATAATTCTAATTAACATCCATCACCATATGGTTAAAATTTTATTTTCTTTTGATGAAACATTTTAAGATCTACTGTCTTGGCAACTTTCAATATACAGTAGAGATTTATTAATTTTAGTCATCATGCTGTACTTTATAGCCTCAGGACTTATAACTGGAAGTTGTACCTTTGACCATGTTCACCCATTTTACTTCACTTTGCCCCACCACAACCACTAATCTGTTCTTTGTATTTATAAGGTGTTTTTATTTTTAGATTCCACATATGAGATCAGACAGTATTCATCTTCCTCTTTGTCACTTAATCTCACTTAGTACAAAGCTATCAAAATCCACCCATGTTGTTGCAAATCAGAGGATTTCCTTTTTTATGGCTAAATAATATTCCATTATGTGTACCAAATTTTCTTTATTCACCATCCAGACTCGGGTTATTTCCATGCCTTGGTTATTGTAAATAATGCTGGAGTGACTTGGGGTGCAGAATATATTTTTGAGATAGTGTTTTCATTTCCTTATGATACATTTCCGGAAGTGGGATTGCTGGGTCATAAGGTTGTTATATTTTAATTTTTTGAGGAACATCCACACTGTCTTCCACAGTGGCTGCACCAATTACATTCCCACCAACATTGCACAAGGGTTCTCTTTTCTCCACACCCTTGCCAATGCTTGTTATTTCTGGTCTTTTCCATAATAGTCATTCTAACAGTTGTGAGGTGATATCTCCTTGTGGTTTGATTTGCATTTTTTAGGAAATTAAAGAAATAACCTTGGATTTTCTTTAAGTTTTATAATGCTATGAGGAACTAGAGGTTATTTTTTATAGTTTTAATAAAGATATTTTCTACAATGATAGTACAGTTAATTTGCATAGAAATTTTTAAAAATGAGAGGCAACATTAGTAATCTGAGGGCAATTAATGTAACCTGTTGATTAATATCTTGTGGGGTGTTGAATATAACAAGACAGGTTGAAGACCCAACCACTTCCTGATAAATTCACTGGTTTTCACAGGACAACCTCTTGCTTAGGTCTCTGAGACACACTCAGGTCATTTCAGAATGGTGCCTGGAATAGAGTGACAGCAGCAGCACAAATCCTATTTCTTAGGGAACTAATTAAAAGCAGATAGTCTGCTAATTTTGAGTACATATGCTGACTTAGCAGATGAACAACTCTTCTTGCAGTTATTTTTATTATATTTTATTCTGCCCTTATAGAGATGTGATTTCTTCCTTTGGAAATCATACATAAAACCTAAATTTGCATAACCTGGGAAACCAGTCATTGACTCAAGAACATGAAGAGCTGCGTTCTCACCCAACCATTGGCTCAATGATTGAGCGTGGACTCCATGCACCAAGAGATCTCTGGTTGAATTCCCGGTCAGGCACATGCCTGGGTTGTGGGCTCCATCCCCAGTAGGGGGTGTGCAGGAGGCAATCGATCAATTCGCATCCGTGTTTCTATCTTTTTCTTCCTCTCTCTCTAAAAATCAATTAAAAATATATTAAAATAGTTTTAAAAAAGAGCTGCATTCTCTTAGCCACTTCAGCCACCTGCAAATACATTTTCCGCTTATGGTTATGCTAATCATCACATTTCATTGCAGAAATATAGAGTTACAGATGAAGATATGCCTCATCTGAATTCTTCCTGAAATGCTTTTCTCCTTTGTCCAAAGAAGTTACTATTCTTCTGACTTTATGGGAGTGAATTATAAACAATGGGATCCCTGCTTTCTCTTGATAGGAGCTGCTGGACCTTCAACACGCCTACTATAGACTCAGCAGCCAACACCAGGCAAAAACAGCAGAGCTGACTCTTGCCAACCACCGAGCCGATCAGAGTGCGGCTGAGGTAAAGAAACTGCAATTTGGAGTGGAAGAACTAAAACAGAGACTCAACCAAAAAGAAAATAAGGTACCTTCTACATCAACATACACTAGATAGCGTCAAAGTAGCTCTTCATAGTATATAGAAAGCATTTTTCTCCTCTACTAACAGAGGGCTTTAATTGGGCTAAAAAATTTACATTTTAAACACCAAAATCAATTTAAAAATGTAACTGCAAGGAAAAAAATATTATCTAGATAATGTGCTCATCTTTGTGTTGCTAAAAGTGTATTTTTATGCATGCACTAGAGCTTTTCTCAAAGCTTTATAAATAGCCCAAGTAAAAGCAGTGAATCACTGTGGTAGGAATTGTTCAAGTTTATTGTGTACACACCAAAAAGTTAGCAAACTGGGAGCATTCAAACCCAAACAGGGATGTATTGTTATCAAGCTGCTGATAGAGCCCAGAGCAGGGACTATTTGTTCTTCAGTGATTGGTTACAGTGTGGGAATTTTCAGTGGTTACCTCCTATTGACCTTGGGAAACAGTTCAAGTTCTGCCTAGGATGTCCAGAGGTGTAAGCAAGAAATGACCAAGGTTATGTTGGTCTTGAAAAATAAGCTAAATTAGACTGTGTCTGTATGACTACACTAGTTCCGTCTGCTCGGGGAACCAAAATGGTTGGTCTTCATTTGGTTTTGATTTCAACAATTCAAATATGCTTCAGCATGGGTACGCGTGCACACGTGTGTGTGTGTGTGTGTGTGTGTGTGTGTGTGTGTGTGTGTGTTTATATATGGGCACAGTATCCCTGAGGCTTGGTGTTTTAAGCTTTCAGCCTATATATCAGAGAAATGTTATATTTGTAATGATTATATGTTATGTCACATATTAGGATATATATTCTCTCCAGTGCTCTCTGGTGTTTAAAAGAACGAAGCCCTCTTGTAGTGTTGTGTAAGGTCAACTCGTTAATGGCTTATGGAATATTTAAGAGGCCTCAGTGTGATGTCCTTAAAGCACGCCTGCAACAGGTAGGTGATTTCAGCTACAATTACAAACAGCAAAGAAATATTTGTTTTGAACAAAACACAGTCCCATCTGTCAGTGTGATTGTGAGACCGTCACCGCATGGCAGCAGTTACTTCAGGTGGTATTCTTGTTCCTGCACCTGCTCCTGAGGCAAAACAAACAAAGCCATTAGTTCCCTGGTTAGAAAGACTATTTCAAGACAATGCCAAACAGTTGGAACTTTAAAAAATTAAACTGAATTACTATTCCAAGGGGTAATTAAATAACAGAACACATTTTACATTTGGAGGGTTAATTTTTAACCAAAAGTATTCCAGTCAAGCAAACTACATTTTCTTCCCTAGTAAGATTATATAAAAGCAGAAAGATTTGCCTAGCGAGGTTCCTACGTTGTTCCCTGCTCTTCCTGGCCCCTACTTTTGGGTGGGCATTTGATCCTTAACGTGGTTCTTTTTATGAAGGTGTATATGTACTTTTTAATTGTGTGCATGTACACTGGGTGGGACTGTAGACCAGTAAGTCAGAATAGGAAGATGGTAGGAAGGCTCAAGAGAATGGTTCTAGGTTTTTATGTTGTCATGGCTATTTATTCCTGAGAATGGTTTTAATATGCAAGTATTTGTTGGACATGGTGATAACTAATTCTCTGTGTTTGCCAATATAGTCTTTAAAAATTGCTTGGGACTGAGCCATTGGCAAGGAAATGATAAAATTCTGTAGGGTTCAAGGGCTATGAAGCATTAGTTCCCAAAGGGCTGAGTCAGCAGTCTAATCATGTAATTTTTAAAAATAGCTGTGGTATCTGTCCTGTTTTCCCAGCACCATTTATTGAAGAGACTGTCTTTACCCTATTGTATATTCTTGCTTCCTTTGTCATAGACTAATTGACCATATAGGGGTGGGTTTATTTTTGGGCTCTCTATTCTGTTGCATTGATCTGTATGTCTGTTTTTATACCAGTGCCATTATGTTTGGATTCCTATGGCCTCGTAATATAGTTTGATATCAGGTAGTGTGATACCTCCAACTTTGTTCTTCTCTTTCAAAATTGCTGCGGCTACTTGGGTTTTTTGTGCTTCCATACAAGTTTTGGGATTATTTTTTCTAGTTCTGTAACAAAATGCCATTTTTATTCTGATCATTTCTCTCTTCTACATAGGTGTGTTTATTGCAATTTTCCTTGCCTTGTTTTACTATAGTATATTCGGTGTGTTTGTGTGTGTGTTGGGCGGGGGGGGGGAGTGCATTACTTGTCTTTTGAGTATATAGATTTCTGGAGCAAAAGAATACATTTTGAGATCTGATATAGATATTATCATTAGATATTTGACTTTCAGACCAGTGCTGAGATTGGAAGATGCTTGGGTAATTTTTCTTGTGGAAAGGGTAAAAACTGTTTAATAGGTAGGGAGGAAGTCAAATAGTTTGTGACTAAGAGCATATATTACATTATATTGAGTGAGTGTGCATGTGTGTGTTTTGATACTTGCAGCCCTTTTCTGTGGGAAGAATATAGTCCCAAACTAGAACAGTGGGCATGGTCCTCTGATTTGACAAATGAAATTTGTGCTGCTATTTAGTAGAACCTTTTAGAAACATAGTTCCATATAGATAATTATTTAGATAGATTTCATATTTGATGCCTAGAAGTAGATGTGTAGAAATACACATTCAACATACAGAACATTTCAGTGTTCTTTATATTCAATCAGTTGGTCACCAGAAAGGACTGGCCCAAAGCACTCTTAACTAGTATGGGTTTTGTAATCTGGATTATTTTATTGTAGTTGTCAGATCTCCAGTTTTTCTCTGATAAAGGTCATCACTATTTTGGGTGACTGGGAACGAAATTTTTTTTTTAAAGGTTCTTATTGTTTTTAGGGAAAGAGAAAGGAAGAGGGAGAGAAACATCGATTGGCTGTTCCCAGCACACCCCCTACTGGGGATCAAGCCCACAACCTGGGCATGTGCCCTGACCAGGAATCCAGAGACCTCTTTGGTTCATGGGTTGACACTCAACCACTGAGCCATACTGGTCGGGCAGAATGAAATATTCTTCATGGAAATAAGATTTTGCATTAGATAGCAGCCAGTATTTTCCCAATTTGACTTATTGTTGAGAAGCCAGGAAAATTCTGCTGAGCCTTTTAATTTCATACTAGCAAATTCTTCACATTGCAATTAGTTAAAATTAATTTAAACTGAAAATACAAAGTTTCTAACTCCCTCAAGTCAACAGATTTTAAATAAATAAAAAAGAGATATTCTCTACTGCAGAAAGAAAAGATATTTTGGGGCCATAAGAGAAAACCCAGGGTCTTGTTTAAAAAAGCAAATTAGAAAAATTTCTCTTTTAGATGACTTGCTTTTCTTTAAGCAAATTGTTTTTAAAAATTTAATTTGATATATATTTGTTAGAAGCTAAACATTCTTTTGTAATCATTTCTTTGAAGTCTTTCTGAGATTGTATATTACATTATATAATGACAAAATTTAACTGGAACTTAATTACCATAATGCAGCACCTATTACATACATATCCACATTAAAATACCAAAATAACTGACTACTTCAATAAATATGGTAGAGAAAACAGTATAATGAATGATATAATAATGCAATAAGCAAAGCTGTTACAGACAGGACAAATGCAACCTAAACTCACAAATGTATTTCCCTAGCACATAAGAAGCAAGGAATATAATATAAACAATTACTAAGACACATGGTGTTCTGCACTATAAAATTAATATCAGGAAGGCTAAAAGACAAAACAAGATGAGGTTTGCTGAAGAATCTTTTAAATTTTGTAAACAATATCACATCACATAAGAAGGAAAAATAAAGGGAAAAGTTAACAATTACTCCACCATAGTATATTATTTCAGTATACTGATTTCAAATACCTAGACAATTTTATGCATAATTGCAGTCATCATTTACAAAAAATATACTCTACTTTGTAAATTACCATAGCTAGTTTTCATGTTGCTTTGTAGTTTCATAGTTGGTTTTTTGAGGGCTTGTATAATATTTCCTTGGATATAAGTTTATTTAACCAATTAATCTTCCCTGATTTAAAGCCATTTGGATTTTCTTTTCCCAACATAATTCTATGTGATTACTTTTATTTATAGACCATTTTTCACCATTGGAAAAAAAAGTTTAGTATGTGGAATTCTTTGGTTAAAAAATATGAATATAATATGATTCTTTATATAGGCAGTATTACCAAATTTCTATGCTCCTCATTGATAGGTCAGATTGTATAAATGTTGATGCCATCAAATGTCAAACCTTAACCTCATCTTAACTAATGCAAAAGCATGTTAAATATTAAGTTATCCTATCTAATAAAAGAGAAACTTGGTAATTGGCGTACGACCACTACCCTTCCCATTGGCTAATCAGGGCGATATGCAAATTAACTGCCAGCCAAGATGGCGGCCGGCAGCCAGGCAGCTTGAAACTAACATGAGTCTTGCTTGCTTCAGTGACGGAGGACTCCAACGTTCCCCGCCTGCCGCTGCAGGCCTCTGAGCTGGCAGTTTGAAACATAGTTACAAAAATAGAAGCTAAACAAAACCCCAGAAACCAGCTTTCAGCTAGCCGGGATCTCAGACCTGGAGTTGATACAGAGTTTCGATTGTAGAACCTAAACAAACCAGATACCTGCTTTCAGGAGCGGAGGCCTAAGAGCTGGAGCCTCAGAGCTAAAGCTGGCTCAGAATAAAAAAAAAAGAAAAAAAGAAAAAACAAAAAAAGGAGCAGTTGGGAGCTTCAGTCCCAGCCTGAAAACAGCCCTCAGCCCCTCACCCAGACTGGCCAGGCACCCCAGTGGAGACCCTCACCCTGAAGGGTGTGTGACCAGCTGCAAACAGCCATCATCCCCTCATCCAGGCTGGCCAGGCACCCCAGTGGGGACCCCCACCCTGATCCGGGACACCCTTCAGGGAAAACCAGCCAGCCCCCACCCATGCACCAGGCTTCTATTCTATATAGTAAAAGGGTAATATGCCTCCCAGCACTGGAATCAGCAGAGCCGCGAGGCCTC